CCCGGGCACGGTGACTCATGCTTATAATCGCAGTACTCTGGGAAGCTGAAGCAGGAGGATCTCTTGAGCCCAGGAGTTCAAGCCAATCCTAGGCAACATAGTGAGCCCTCATCTCTACAAAATAAATAAATACATAAATACATAAATAAGATAATAAAAATTAATGTACAGGTTTTTGTGTGAACATAAGGTTTCTAAATTTATTTCACCCAGTAATGGTATTTCTGAGTCATATGGTAAGTGTATGTTTATAATGAGATCATGTTCTTTGCAGGAACATAGATGGAGCTATAGGCGATTATTCTTAGGAAACTAACGCAGGAACAGAAAACAAAATACTGCATGTTCTCGCTTATAAGTAGGAGCTAAATTATGAGAACACATGGATGCACAGAGAGGAACAACGCACACTGAAGCCTATCGGAGGTTGGAGGGTGGGAGCAAGGAGAGGATCAGGAAAAATAACTAATGGGTACTAGGTTTAATACCTGGGTGATGAAATAATCTGTACAGCAAACCCCCATGACACAAGTTTACCCATGTAACAAACCTGCATATGTACTCCTGAACTTAAAATAAATGGTTTTTTTTTTTTTTTTAAAGAAGTCTGGGGGAAATAAAAGAAATTTTCAGATGGTGACTGCACAATTTTACACTCACACAGGAAACGCAATAATGTTCAAGATGCTCTTCATCCTTGCTAGCAGTTGGTAATGTCAGTATATTTTTCAGCAGTCCTCAAAAATATAATGCATCTACCTTGATTTTACTTTGTTTTTCTCTAAAATCTAATGATGTAGGATAATTTTTCATGTGCTTATTTAATATTTGTATGTCAATTCTAGAAAAGAGTCTATTGATGTATTTTGCCCATTTTAAAAATGTTTTCTAATTTTTGGATTTTTTTTAAATTATACTTTAAGTTCTAGGGTACATGTGCACAACATGCAGGTTTGTTACATATATATACACGTGCCATGTTGGTGTGCTGAACCCATTAACTTGTCATTTACATTAGATATATCTCCTAATGCTATCTCTCCCCCTTCCCCTCCCCACAATAGGACCCGGTGTGTGATGTTCCCCTTCCTGTGTCCAAGTGATCTCATTGTTCAATTCCCACCTATGAGTGAGAACATGTGGTATTTGGTTTTCT